AGTGTAGTGTTTTCCTTTATTCCACTTTGTCTTTGCACTAGATCCTCCTTAATTTTTAAAACAAGTGTGGGAAGGCTGGATATTTGAGGTTGAGAAAGTGTGGATATTTATTTTTTTTTAGGCCCAGAGCATAGGCTATACATTCATTTGCTTTGCTTTACCTTATATGAAGGTTTACTGCCTTTCATGCTCATCTCCATAAAAATCCCCCTAAATTCTATTTACCCATATATTCTAACTTGGAAAAATAAGTTCAGTGTGCCATAGATTATTCAGAAAAGAAGCTTTTAAAAATGTTTTTCAGCTCTTTCACCAGTAGGGATTTTAAACCTGTTTCAGTGCAAGAGTGTAAACATATTAAAATATTTTGATATAACATTAGAATTAGACCATTTTGAACAGTTTAAAAATGCCTAGTGATGTCCTTTTTGCAGGCAATACTACTGTAGCAAGGCACTAATCAGCTAAGTACCATAATCCTCCTTATAGGGTAAATTCTTACTTGACCTCCAGCTATATACAGCACATAGTAACAGCATTAAACTGTAACCCTTCTCTCCTGCTCTCCACAGCTTCTCTACTGGGTCAGCATTTAGGCCCAAATAATTTTTAGTTTTATTTTATATAGTTTACCTTCCCTCTCCCAGATGCATTATATTTTGTATTTGGAGGTGAGGAAAGGTTTATGAAGAAATTGTTTGGAAATCTGGGCTCCTAAATTGAAGTGACATTTCACATGGTTTCCTCAAAGCTACAAGGATTAAATGAAGCAGTAGGCTGCACAGAAATTGATGCATTCTCGGGAACTTGATGCTCCTGACTTTCCAGATGTGCAGTGGCTGATCAGAAGGTAAAGAATGAAATAATACATGGACTTTTAAATTTTTACATTATTGGTTTTATGGGGAGTATTAAGAAACTTTTAAAAAGTAAATTGAGCTTTAAATTATTTATGACAAGCAACTAGGTTTATTTTTTTTAAAGGGACTAATATATCTGATTTTTAATATCCGGGCTTTTAAGCAGAGTATCACCATCCATAGATTTATAAACTTTAGAATGTGATTATGATTCTTAAAAGTGTAAATTTGAGTCACTTAGCTAGTATTAGTTGCAGTGCAGTTTGATATCTTGATATCTTGATTTTTTATTTGCTTGATTAATGAGACAAAAATAGTAATTCTGCATATCATCCAGTTATTTTATGTGGATCATCCCTTTTTTCTGTCTGAAATGGCAAGTGTGTTGCATTTTAACTACTTTGCTATTTAAAGTATTTAATACTTTAGGAAAGCATTTTGTATTATAGTTGGTGTTTAGTAACTTAACTAATGGTAATAATATATCCAGAGGGATAACAGCAAAAGAAGCCAAGTCTTGTGGGGCCCTAAAAAACTCAAGCCCAGTTATCAGTTGTAAAAACATCTGAAGTAAAAGTGAAATAAAACATGTTATTTGCACTAGATGTTACAATTTCATCGTTAGTAAATATTTAGCCCAAAGCTACGGTAATTATAATATTAAAACCACTATGTCATTTTGATGCATGTTAAGTTTAAGGTTCAATCAGTTTAAAACACTAAATTGCAGAACTTTTAATACTTAGTTTTAAAACACTGAACCAAACAAAGGATCCAGTTCTACTCATGAGGTGGTGGATTTCTGAACCACTAAAGAATTTCATTTCGGAGTAATAAAGAGATGTGCATATATTTAGGCATGGATGTGAAAAATGTTCATCTTGTCCTATTCTCCTGTTGCTTAAGTTGGGGAAGTCAGTTAATTCTCTGCTGTGTTTGGGCATCCACAAAGAAGCTCTTTAGATCCTGGCCATTGAGTAAACGTCTTCAGAAGAGTCCCAGTGAAAGCTGTAGTTCTATAATATGTTTTAAAAGAAATAACTTTGGTATGCTAAATAATCATTTTATTTGTTGTTTGTTGAAAGATTGTATGTAAAGAACCTATGGCAGTAAACACCTCCCCAGATATCCTTCCCTCCAAAGCTATGATGAAAACTTAGCAAATATAGGGAGGGGGAGGGAAGGGGAACTAGAAGAGACACCAATAAATGTGGGTGAGGAAATCAGGACTCAAAGAGTTCTTAGAACTCAGACCAGATACCATTGCATTTAGTCCTAGCATCACATCTACGAAATATTATTTGTTTTTTGGTTTCCAGGTCCAGAAGTTCATCCACCCAGGTTTTGAAGTGCAATGGGGTCAATGCCTTCAGGTATTGGAGAGTGAGATGCTTATGAGATGATAAGCTATCAATGGAGCTAGCAAGATCCAAAACAATCTTTTTTTTTTTTTTATTGCAGAAAACTTCCACATTTTTCTTGCACATCTTAAGTACTACTTCTTGAAGTTTTCACCAATGCATGGATTTATTTACACTGTCACACTGTTTATTTGATTTCTTGTTGAATCACAATGTAATATTGTATCTTTGGGGGAGGGGGAAACGAGAAGTTGAAAACTCAGTTGAGTTTTCCCACCTCAGTAATACAGCATCTGTAACATGATTTATTTAGTTAGGTGGTTTTCATAAGCAATTTGTATCATTTTTGTTATTGTCCTAATTTGTGCTTTGGGAATTCTTACATGGAATCAAGTAGATAATCACAAGAACACTTTTGTCAAATATTGCTTACAAAGGGATCTTGAAATAGATTAATGAGATGAGAATACAGTGAATGGAAACAGTCCTGTGGATTTCAGTGGAATTTTAGTGAGATTTCCAAGGCAATAGATAGGTTTTCTGGACTGAAGACTTCTGTCCCAGTCTGGCTAAGGAGACACATCATCTAAGCAGGCTTCTACATGCATATCATTTGGTGGAAAATACATTAGTAATTGTAATATTGTACTTACGTTGATGATTCTGGAGTACCGCTTGCATGTACTGTATGCCTTGTAATAGTGGGCACATTGTGACAAATACATTTGTTGTACTTTGCTTGCCATATATTATGTTTCGGTATGCTGAGATTCAAATGGCATGCTAAGGCAAACTTTGGTTCATCTTAGCATGACACAGCAGTAAAAAGGACCTGGGAGAAACAAAGTAGCTGCAAACTCTTTTCTGGGGGCACACACATTCTCACACCTGTGGTAAGCCATAACTTGGCTTACTGTTGTTATTTCTAAAGCAAAGTCATCTGGCTGAAATTTAGAACAGAGAAACTAGAAGGAAGGAGTGCATGCTTAGATGATGGAATGTTGTTACATATGTTAGGATGTAATTCATAGTTTGCCCTAGACTGCATTCTGGCTCTCAGCTTGCACGATACTTCCATAACCTGGGATATATTCAGAATTTTACACAAGATACACAGTTTGTCAATATTTAGCTTCGTCACTTGTGAATGATGATATGATTTATGAAAGTAAACAAGCTAATGAAAATATTTTTTTCGATTATAACTTTCAGAAGAAGTATTATTTTTATTATTTATTATATATTAAATTTCTATACCATCCTTCATACGAAGATTACAGGGTAGTTTACAAGGCAGGAAAGAAGAAAACGTATATATTTTATTTCTTTAATTAAATATTTATAAACCACAACTTCATATAAAATACAAGGTTGTATACAGGATAAAAACCCAATATTACAATAAAACAATAAAAATGTGAAACAAACCAGTAAGAGCTGATGATCTAGCTTATCTGAGAATTGTTTGTGCTTTGATTTTGATTTTTCCTTCTGTTCTGAACTTACTCATTTTATTTTTAAAAAGTATTTAGCTACGGTGGGACATATTGTAAGGGAGATAAGTAATGGCTGAAAATAATAAAATATATAGTAGGTAGTTGTCCTACAAGAAATTATTTGAACATTTGTACCATCAGAAGATGCATATTGTTTGTTGTTAATTTTATTTTACTTAAGTGGCTACTTGATATAAACAATACAAATAAGAATCCTGCCCTGAATTATTGAATAAGTTCTGTAAGGATAATTCTTTCATAATTTCTTTTTGTATTTTTCCCTTTTAATTAATTATGGCTTGGAGCCCAATTTTAATTAAGTTACAGTGCAATCCTGTACATAGTGAAACATGAAACTTATTCCAGAGGGCTGGTGTACAGAGGAGGGAATTGCCAAAAGTGGGCAGTGGACTTCTCAATTTGGGGCACTCCCCCCCCAATGCTACTGATATCCCATGTAGTTTAGGAGGGCCATCAACCCTCTGGAAAGGTTTTTGCCAGGGCTGCAGGAAGGAGGAAGGTGTGGAAACGTACTTAAGTTAACCCTCTTAGGAACCAAGTCTATCTGTTTACCTGTGAGTGATGCAGACATCATGCTGTGAATATGAAACAGATACAAATACGTTTTAAAACATGTTGCTAGGTTAATTTTTGAATTTTTCATTGCATATTGTATTTTGTATTTTTGCTGTCCTGTTTCAGACCCCCTTTTGGATGTGTGAAGCAATTATATAAATATAATAAAATAAACTTAAACTAACAAATGTGGTATGAAAAAATAGGAGAATTACAACTTAATTGATTAAACAAAGGTATTTTTGTTTAATTAACTCATTGTATTATTTAATATTTATAGAACACTTTTGAATGTTCAGATATTTCAGATACATTATCCCCTTGTAACCATTAAAACAATGCTGCAAGTATCATTATCAGCATCTTGCAGATGGTGGCCACGGGAGGGGGAGGCTGAGCTTGATACTGGATTTACTAAGGCCACCTAAGTGAGTTTCCTGGAAGAGATGAAATTTGAACTGGGGATTTCTTGATTCATAATGCATTCTCTTAGCCACTATGCTACATATATCAGCTCTGGAAAACAAATTCAACTTAAAACAATGTGCTTCCATTTGAGTGAGTGATTATCAGGTTATTAGAAAGCCAGTGCAGTTATTATAGCTCAGTCAACTAGAATAATTAGTTTGGAATTAGTTTGTAACAAATAAATTGTAAGCACTGAAAATATTGATAATGTTTACTTCTTGTTTTTCTTGATTACTTAGAAAAAGAAGCCCATCAATACCCAGAGATCAGAACAGGAGATTCAATCAACAGGAGGAGAGAGACGACTATTCACAGTATGCAACATCAGACAGTGCAATGCCAAGATCACCATCAGATTATACAGACAGACGATCACAACATGGATCTCAGTTATATGAAGAAGCTGAACTTGATGACTACAGGGATTCGAACAGGAGAAGTCGCAGGCGTTCGAGGGAATATCCTTTAGAGGAAGATGATGTGCAGAATAGAGAGGACTATGAGAGGCAACGGCGGGAAGAGGAGTACCAAGCACGATACCGAAGTGATCCTAATTTGGCTCGTTATCCCGTCAAACCACAACCATATGAGGAACAAATGCGTATTCATGCTGAAGTGTCCCGCGCGCGTCATGAACGAAGGCACAGTGATGTGTCTTTGGCAAATACTGAACTGGAAGATTCCCGGTTATCTATGATGAGAATGGAACGGCCATCACGGCAAAGGTCTGCATCTGAACACAGAGCTGCCATGGACCAATGTTCATATTCAATGGAAAGAACTCAGGGACCAAGTCCCAATCGGCAAAGAAACACAAATCACAGCCCTCCAACACCTAGGAGGAGTCCCATTCCTTTTGATAGGCCAGATATGAGGCGAACTGATTCATTAAGGAAACAGCATCATTTGGATCCTAGCTCAGCTGTACGGAAAACAAAACGTGAAAAAATGGAAACCATGTTAAGAAATGATTCACTAAGTTCAGATCAGTCTGAATCAGTTAGGCCTCCACCACCAAAGCCTCATAAAACAAAAAAAGGAGGTAAAATGCGTCAGGTTTCACTGAGCAGCTCTGAGGAAGAGTTGGCCTCTACTCCAGAGTATACCAGCTGTGACGATGTAGAGATTGAAAGTGAAAGTGTTAGTGAGAAAGGTAAGAATTTTGCTTTTACTGTATAGATGGAGTTTGTGTACATTCTAATTCTGTAAAAGAGAAGCATCTCTGCTGCAGACCTCAGGTGTTTGGTGGGGGGTATTTTGCTTTGTTTTTACACTTATGGGTCACAGCATGGGTAGATGAAGCTACAAATTAGTCTAAAGTCTAAGAACTGAAGTATGCACTAAATATACATGTTTCTAACTATATACTTATAAAAAAATATAACCATAGTGATGGGAGTGATATAATTGGATCAAAAAATTGTACTAAGGTATTTTCTGTTTGAAAACCCTCACTTGCTGCTTTTCATACTATTTTACTGTTTTAAATTTCTTCCCCCATCACACACACACACACACACACACACACACACACACACACACACCACAAGAAGGTACTATTAGCTCTTCTGGGGAGGAAAACAAATACAAATGTAGTTCTCTACAGTAGGATTAATACTAGTTTCAGGGAAGGTGATTTCAATCTGCTAAATGATGTGGACAAAAGTTTTTGGTTTTTTTAACCCTCTGCCCTAACATCAATCTCATGTTCCAATTTAGCCCACTCCCTGTGGCTGCTTTTAAGTGAAAATGAAAAAATCCGGAGACCCAACCACATATCTCCCACATCAAAGTGTAGTGTGACCTTCCATGATGATTAAAACAAGAACACAATTATAACACGGTAGAACAACACTTAATAGAAACATTTGCTCTGTTCTTGTTCATTGATAAAGCGCAGGTTGTGGTTAGTGTTGGTTAAGTACATGAAAGGAGGAAAATTAGTGGGTCATATGGTTCGTATGGGTCTGCACATGAGCGTGCACACACATACATGCACACATGACAATTTAGCAAAAATGTCTATATTGTAACCAGCAGTGGGACCTTATAGCATATCCTTTGGACTGTCAGTCTTATAATTGTATTTTATGTTTAAACTGGATTCTAAGCATTGTGTTCTTGGAAACAGGAATGAAAACTTGGTTCGTTTTTAGTGATAAATAATGACCAGTTTACACAGATGGAAAAGAAACAGCGATTAACACCGACTAAATGAACAAACAACTGTTAACTAAACAAGTGTGCTTAGCACTGCAATCTTTTTCTTACAGTTATATTTCTTCTACCTTGCTCTCTAGATCAAGAACATACACAGAGTATAGAAGAATTTTGTAAGGTCTGAAGTCAGTCTTAAACAAAGAAATGATGGTTGTCCTCTTTATGATATGGAAGTGGTTCATTTTTTATTCTGTAATATAGTGCTGTGGACTTCATTTGTTCTTTAATGTGGCCCAAACTGCCATCTTTCAAATGGTTTGCCCCTAGAATATACATGCACACTCTCTCGTGGACAGACTGGTCACATTCATCTGAGCCAATGCTGTGGTTTTTCTCTCTCCAAACAAACCACTACTCGAAGCCAATATTTTTTTAATTGGCTTCCCAACTGTGATTTGTTTTGGAGAAACAAACCACAAGTGCTGGTTCAGATGTAATGCTAAACCAGCTGCTCTGTGGTTTGCTTCCCTGCTTGAGTAAGGGAAAAGTGAAGCAGGAACACTCTAAGCTGTGTGATCAAAAAGCAGCTCATGCACAGTATGGCTAAATAAACCATACTTTGTGAATTAGTGTTGCACCTGAACATGGTCATTCACAGATATGTTTGTATCCTCATAGACTTCGGTGACTGTTCTCTCTCTCTTTTACATTCCCTCTTTCTGTTACCGGCATTGCTTGGGTCATGCATTAGCTGTGGTTTGAGGGCTAGGAAGGAAGGAAGGAGAATGTGTGGAAGAAACTGATTGTATACACTACATGCTTTTCACCCCGTTTCTGAAATTATGGCAGATTGCTATAAGGCATGGTACCAACTTATATTTTTCCATCTCCAAAGACCCTCAACTCTTGCATATGTGTTTTGTGTAATCTGATATCCACCACTGACTGGTGTCCATTGCCTTTCAGTGAGATATATTGAGAGGCTATATTGTTTGAGTATTTTAATCTGAATGTATCTTCTTCTGCTAAGCTCAAGGAATAGTTACCCACACGGCAGTGGGAGTATCAATGAAAAATGTGGGGATGAATCCACACATCAGTTCAGAAGGATTAAGTGTTTAAGAATGCAGTAGTTAATCTAGTGTGTACAATTGGTGTCATAGCTAGAGCTGTATTTTCACCTGTGTCCATTTATACCGTGATATATCTGTGTATTAACAACTGATGCCACACAGCAGTTCTGTAGTGCTTCATTTACAAGCTATTGTTCAACCACACTAATAAGACCATATGTTTTTTAAGTTTAAAATAGTTTACTTACAGACTCTCCAAAGGTCAGGTGCATGTGCTTTTCCTTACAGCATTCAGAAAAAGTTGCACAGGCAGTAAAACTTGGTTTAGTTACAGTGGTGAAAGTTCCTAAATTATTATTCTTCTTTGGCGATCACTCGTAGCCGAGTAAGATTGTCTTCCATAAACACAGTTTTAACAATGAGTCCATAAGTGACTGTGGAGGCCAATTATAGATCCACACGTCCTTCCACAGTGGGGACATTGGTTTCCGGGCAGGAGTTGATCATGGTGTGGATTTGCCAAGTGTGCCTTCCTCTTAGCACGTTTCTTCCTTGTGTGCTGAGTTCAAGTGTCTTCAAAGCCCATCACACCTTAGATAAAGGTTGTTCTCCAACTGGAGCGCTCGCAGGCCAGTGTTTCCCAGTTGTCAGTGTTTATACTACATTTTTTAAGATTTGCCTTGAGACAGTCTTTTGTTGACCACCAGCATTACGCTTTCCATTTTTAAGTTTGGAATAGAGTAGTTGCTTTGGAAGACGATCATCAGGCATCTGCACAACATGACCAGTCCAACGAAGTTGATGTTGAAGAATCATTGCTTCAACATTGGTGATCTTTTCTTCTTCCAGTACACTGATATTAGTTCGCCTGTCTTCCCAGGTGATGTGTAAAACTGTAAAAGCCAGGCTGCTGGAGCTGCAGCAACCAGCTCAGATCTCCTCACCTGCTGAGCTTCTCTGGTAGACTGAGGGAAACAAAAGGCTTGATTACCTTTCTCCTAAGGTGAGGAGGAATGACCTAGCTAAGCCTGGCAGGACAGTTTACTCTGTGGCATTAATCCTTCATGGATTAATTAGGTTTAAGCATGTTGGTTAAATGAGGCTGGTTATCCCACATAATGATCCTCAAAATTCACTGCAGATGCCTATTCTGTTTTAGAGCATAAGATTAACCGATGGTCCTACACAGAAGTGTGGTTCCCATACTGTCTCTTCCATGTTCATAAACTGGTGATTCTCTACATATTTTTCATCATAATTCTTGTTTATTTTACTTGATTTTCATAATCTCATTCAGACCATTTGTTTGAAGCATTATACAAATAAATTTCAGAAAAAATCCAATAATATAGTTTTTCTCACCTATTTTCAGTGACATACACCTTGTAGAGACTGGTGGAGAGCCAATAATACATATGAATAATATATAAGTATACTGTATAGAAGGGTAAACATAACTTAGCATTTGCATATTACTGAAATCCTGTTTTCCTGCTTCCTTTTCAGTACAAGCCACTCTAGAACATACTAGGCCCCAAGGGTATCTACTAAAGATATTGCATTCTAAGTGTCTACATGCTTAAAAATGAATATTATTAAATTAGATAAGGCAACTGGGCAATGTGGTTGATTTATATGTCTGATTTTGTGGGCTCCTGAGCTTGTAATGTGGACTGCTGAGATTTTTGCTAAGATTTCCTCAGTTTGTGCCTTGACTTTAACATATGCCAATATAATCTAGTTATTAAAGCTTATTAATGCAATGGAGAAGAATTTTGCTTCCCATTTCTGATACTAGTTGACAGTCTTCTCTTAGTATGACAGTATGTTCTAAGATGGTGAACTTATTTATTCTTATTTGTGTCATCTATGTAGAATAACTAACATGTTCATTTGAAACTTGGTATTTAATTTTACATTTTAACATAAGATAATTATTATGTTGTAATAACAATAACAATAACAATAACAATAACAACAGAATAGCATTTTATTATTCCTTTAGGCCTGTTGACAAAAGTCATTATACAGTCGTACCTTGGAAGTCGGACGGAATCCGTTCCGGAAATCCATTCGACTTCCAAAACGTTCGGAAATCAGAGCACGGCTTCTGATTGGCTGCAGGAAGTTCCTGCTGCCAATCGGAAGCTGCAGAAGCCCCGTCAGACATTTGGCTTCCAAAAACAGTTCACACACTGGAACAGTCACTTCCAGGTTTGTGGCGTTCGGGAACCAAAATGTTAAAGTACTAAGCTGTTTGAAAACCAAGGTACGACTGTATTAAAAACAATTAAAGAAATTATCTTGTAAACTTCCAGACAGTTATCTTGTAAAATTCCACAGACAAATCTGTTTTGACACAGAATAGATACCAGCTACATCAAAAGAGACATTTCCCTGACTGTGGAATTTTAAATATAACACATCCCATCATTTCTTTTAAACTAATGTGTCATGCAATGGTTAAGAACAAGGTAGTTTTACTCATCCACTAAGAAAATAGAACACAGGACTAAGCTAAAGAAATACATATGCTTATACATTTAGAAAATTTAGAACCTGCTTTTCAGTGTAAAAAAAGTGAGGAACAACAGAACATAAAAATATAATTTAAAACAATAAACAACTACTCTGGTTTCTCTTCAGATCGTATAAATCTTTCGCCCTTTACAATAAACAACAGTAAAAAAAATATTCATAATAAAATAAGCAGCTAACAGGAGAGTTTAAAATATAGTGCCACTAGTACCTCTATCTAAAAAAAGTTTCATTTTTGTGGTTAAATGGACCACGTTCTTGGAACTGGCAAATCTAAGATGGCAGGAGTTTACATAAATGCAGTGCTACTATTGAAAAAGCTTTATTCAAGGATGAAATCAGTATTGCTTTTGGTTAAATCCCATTGTGCAGCTGGAAGTAG